TAGTATAATAAAGTTTTGCCTTACCAATCAGTTGGAAAATGTTTCCTTTGTACTTTTCTTCTGAATACATCTTTCACTTCCTTGTTCCTCAAGCTATAGATCAGGGGGTTCAGCATAGGAATCATGACAGTATAAAATAGAGAAATAACTTTATTGGTATTCAGTGAAGAATCTGTACTAGGTCTAACATAAATGAAGAACAAAGTTCCATACAGGATGGAGACTGCTGCCAAATGAGAGGAACAAGTAGAGAAGGCTTTCATCCTCCCATCGGTCGTCTGGATCTTCAAGATGGCCATCAAAATACAGATGTAGGAGACTACGATGATCAGACCACTAAGCACTCCTATTGTTCCATCCAAGACAAAAAGCACTATCTTGTTGATGGAGGAGTCAGCACATGCTAAGGAAAGCATTGGGGAAATATCACAGAAAAAATGGTTGATGATATTGGGACCACAGAATGGTAAGCAAAAGGTCAAGGTTGTATGAGTTGTGATGTTTATAGCAGCCAAAAGATAAGGTCCTAAGACAAACTTCATACAGACCCTCTTGGACATGATTAGAGTATACAGTAAGGGCTTACAGATGGCTGTATAGCGATCATACGCCATGGCAGCAAGGAGGAAACATTCAGTTCCCACAAAAAGACCAGCAAACCATAACTGTACAGCACAACCCACAAAGGAAATGGCTTTTTTCTCTGTAAATATATCACACAGCATCCTAGGAGCTATGGAAGAAGAGGAACACATATCTACGAAGGACAAATGACTAAGAAAAAAGTACATAGGTGTGTGCAGCCTGGGGTCCACCCATATGAGAGTGATCATACCCAAGTTGCCCCCCAGTGTAACAAGATAAACAAAGAGGAGCATGATGAAAAGTACAATCTTCTGATAGAGACGATTTGTGAGGCCCAGAAATAGAAACTCACTCACTGCGGTCTCATTCTTTTCTTCCATTGTCAGTTGGGTTCTGTTATGAAACAAAGTGTATTCTTTTATTACAAACTATCATCAACAATTACAAATGATGTTTTAATTCAGTGACAAGTTGTCTTAAGACAACAGTTGTAACAGTAGGGCAGTAGTCTTGTACTTGGCAGTATTTCTAAATTCTGTTTCTGGACATTTCTATAAATACTCTGTACAACTTTTTGGCAACTTAGCCTTTATATTCTTAGATTCTGTAAATCTAATAACTGCCTAAGTATATGATCTAAATTCCATCACATTAATTACACAATTGCATTTAAAATGTGTTTTGAGATGAAGTTGTTCACATTCATAAAGGTCTTTCTTTAAAAAGAAAAAATATGTAGACCATGGGATCAATACCATTTCCAAAGGGACATAAAGAATCAATAATCTTAGATGTTAAGTAGAAAAGAAATGAAAGGGAGGATCGATATTTCTCATCTAAGATGCATATGATAACATGAGAGTTTCATCCTCTGAGATTAAGAGATCTGATGCTCAATATTGTAGTGGAAATTAAGATTTACTGAGCTAAAATAATATAATTATTCCATATATTTTATATAAACTCTCATCATTCCTGATAAACTATAGTGATAATGTATATGTTAAGAAAGTCTAAGCCATTTCAGATTTATAGAATAATATGATTACATGGGATGATTTACATTAAAAAATTATTTACGAGAATCAATTATGTTCCTCTTTGAAGAAATAAATGTAGCAAAAATATTATTCACAATTTTTTAATTTACTATTTAATTATAAATACCTAATAGTGACATAAACTATTTAATTAGTGATTTTCTTATAATACCAAGGCTACTTGCATAATGCTACATCAGTGCAATAACAAAGACTAATCCCACTTTTCACTAGAATCAGTATGTTGTTGAATGTTTCTAGTTTTAGTCATCTATTTACAGCTATGTATTTTGTGGAGATAAAGGATAATATAGTATCCTCCTCTTATATTTTGTTGCCAATCACTAGTTATCTATTTAAGTTTTACTTATGTTTACTTATGTGTTCATTTAAATGTGTTTCTTTGAATCTTCTGTGGAGTGAAAATCTTTACACCTATCATTTTTACTATGGTCTTAGCTTTCCTCTAGAACATTAATACAATTCCTACAATAGAGAATTTATATTATAAATGGTAATGAAATTTTACATTTACATTTACAAGGTGGTGTTTTGACACATGCAAAAATTGTGGAATGATTGGTTCTGTTTAATTATTATATAATATTCCAAAAGTACCTAACCCCATTTTGTTCTCATTTATGAAGGAAAAATATGAGACACCTTAAAATCTCCTAGAAATTTTCAGTACAGAATATTTGTATTCAAAAGATCTTATATAATTTTTCAAAATCCAGGTAGATCAATTCAGAAAACTCCACACATGGCATGATTTAGTCTTATGACAATGTGAAGAGAATACCTGACCCTGTCAGAGAATCTGAAATGGGGAGTTTCAAAATTCAGATGTATCCTGATGTTTCTCTTCCATATTTCAAGCACATAACTTAGTCCAAACTCTAACGTACTCACTTCTGTCTGCATCACCTTTAACTGCTTCAAAAGCTATGACCGTTTTCTGGGAGAAAGAATGATTAAACACTTTGCATGGTGGTGACACTCTCTTGAGAAATTCTAGGCAATTAGTTAAGAAAATAAACATCCCGTCAAGGACATGAAGGGGAAATCTCTGATTCACATACTGCACCGAATCAGGGAACTCATTCTGGAAGCAAATAAAAATTCATAGCAAAGTCCCCAAAGAATTGAAACCTCAAAGGCTTACATACATCTAAAGAGGCAAAATTAACATGATTTCAGCAGCATTTGATTATTATTCCATAAACGTGTCTTTCTCAGAGAAACCATTTTGAGAAAATTATGCATGTATATATGTTGTGGACACATGTGTCTTTCTCCATGAGATCTCTTTACCAAGAGATCTCTCTTTATTTTTTTTTTACTTTTAGTTAAATTTTATTAGGATATATTGGTTGTTATTTGGCTTTACACACGTTGTTATGAATGGAAGGATTTAACGGTTTAAATGGCTAACTACTATTATGTTGTGTGTGCAAACAATCTTTTCTTATTTCTTTGTTGATAAACACTCATAATGATTTTCTATCTGGGTAATTGTTAGTAGTGTTGTAATAAAGATCATGTGCAGATCTTATATGTGAGTTTCCTCATTTCCTTTAGATATGTACTCACTAGTGATATGGCTAGATTTTATGGCATTTCTATTTCTACACTGAACCACTTCCACAGTGTTTTTCCATAGTAATATTAATAATTTATCTTCCAGCTGTTTCATTTGTCACAGCCTTGTTGGCATTCAATGAGGTGTTTTTTCTTGTTTAATAATCAATGTCAATTAGTGAGGTGGTGTCTTATTTCGGTTTCAATCTGAGTTTTTCCTAATGTTTAATGATTGTGAGACTTTTTCATAGATAAGTTAGCCAAATGTACATCTTTTATGAAATATCTTACCTAATTTAAAATCAAATAAGGAAGAACAAAATCATTGCCTTCTATCAATGACCAGGCAACTTGAAAGAAAAGCCTGAGGAACAAAATCTGTGAGAAGAATGATAATAAAGTATCTGAATTCAGAACATCTGCAAGTTTAATATCAAAGTTTGGGAAGAAAGAAAACTAGGCTTGTTGGTGCATGTCTTAATCTTAACACTAGGGAGGCAGAAGCAGGCAGACCTCTGTAAGTTGAAGGCCACCCTGGAGTACTTAGTGAGTCTGAGGACAGCCAGAGCTACACAGTGAGATGCTGCAGAAAAAGGAAATCCTTAAGATGGTGAAAGACTTGAACACTAAGAAATGGTATGAAGGCATCTATGGAAGAGTTAGTGAGGTTTAATGGCTCTCCTGAACAGTCTTGCTTTACAAAAACAAACAACAAAAAATCAACTCCCTCCTTCTCTGGTAACTGCAGCCTTCCTTTACCAACAAAGAATAAAATGGTCTTACTGAGATAGACACTGTAGAGGAGGCGTCCAACTTCTAGCTTCTCTCAGATATACTGGACAGAGGACAACTGGCTTGGGTCACACATCCAATACACAAACACTAACAAAAATGGATATGTAGGTGCTGCCAAAAATGATAACATAAATAAGACTTGATAATCAAGTCAAGAATATTTGTTTCTGTGAAGATAGGACCTATAAAAGTCTATTAAAGAGATGTTACCAGAGGTATAAATAGCTCAAACATCAAGATGTTTGCTTTGTAAACTTGAGGTTCATATGTCAGATGCCTAGGATCCACCTAAAGACTGCTATATAGCATCTATAACCTCAGTGACTTTATAACAGCATGTGAAGCAGAGCCAGAACATTTCCTAGAAGCTGGTAGGCTAGCCATCCTAGTGTGTGGAGGGATCAACAACATGAGAGCCTGTCTCGAACAAGGTAAAATGTGAAGGCTGAAATGTCTTCTGAACTCCACATGTGTACCAGGGTACACACATACCTACCCACAAACACACACACACACACGAGAGAGAGAGAGAGAGAGAGAGAGAGAGAGAGAGAGAGAGAGAGACAGAGAGAGAGAGAGAGAGAGACAGAGACAGAGACAGAGACAGACAGAGAGAGACAGAGAGAGAGACAGAGAGACAGAGAGACAGCAACAAAGGCAGAAACAAAGGTAGACAAAGAGGAAGACACAGTCAAATTATTCTTTAAGGTAAAAGATATATTGCAGCTCATTACATTCCATTTGAAAATTTTAGCAGGTAACATGTTTATGACACTTGAAAGAGAAGTAGCAAATTTTAAAAATTCTTATTTTTCTAGATATTTTGAAAGCCACTTTCAAATTCTTGTACCAAAAAACAACACTGTATGTCATTGAAGAGATGGCCCAACAATTCAGAAGCCTGCTCTTCCAAAGAGCCTGGGTTCAATTCCCAGCATACAAGTGGTATCTCACAACTGCCTGTAATTCAAGGGAACCTGTGCTCCATTTTGGACTCTTCAGACACTTTACACACATGTCACATACATGTGCCAAAATATCCATACACATAGAAGTAGGTCTTAAAAGCAAACATGACTACATGTATTTTCTGTTCCTAGGATTGTATTCAGTCAAAATGTTGAAATGTATAAAATTTTGCCAGGGCTTAAACTTTCCATGATTTCAGTTTCATTTGGATCAGCCATTATTTAAAATGTTGTATCCAAAATATGGTTCTTACCTTGAAGATGCACTTTAAACTAAAATATTTCAATGTGCAGTTAAATTAGGTAAAAGTGATAAATCTGTAAGGTAGTATCCATCAAGTTCTGCCACGAGATTGTGAAATAGTTTGTGATCAGGCAGAACAAGGACTCACTTGCAGCCTCTGGTTCTCACTCCAGTGGTCTCTGTCTTATATTTAGCCCTCACAACTTAGGTATGTGACAGAGAGAATTCTATCTTAAGTACCTACTAGGAAGTGCTTCTTCTCTAAAGTTCTCCTGAATGCATCTTTTACCTCTTTGTTTCTCAAACTGTAGATGAGGGGATTCAACATGGGGATCACCACAGTGTAAAATAAGGAGATCACTTTATTAATATTCAAGGAGGAACTGGCATTGGGTCGAACATAGATGAAGAAAAGAGTCCCATACAGGATAGAGACAGTCGCCAAGTGAGAGGAACAAGTTGAGAAGGCTTTGCGTCTCCCATTAGCTGTCTGAATCTTCAAAATTGCCATCAAGATGTAGACATAGGACACCAGGATGATCAGACCACTGAGCACACCTACTGCCCCAGCCAAGACAAAAAGCACCAACTTATTGATCTGGGTGTCAGTACATGCTAGAGACAACAATGGGGAGATGTCACAGAAAAAGTGGTTGATAATATATGGACCACAGAATGGTAAGCAAAAGGTCAAAGTTGTATGTGTCATTGTACTTACAAGAGCAATGGCATAAGGCCCAATAACCAACAAC